TTTTTTTTTTTTTTTTTTTTTAATTCAGGGGAATGAATTATCTACATGAAAATAAACCTGAGGCCATTATTCACCGCAATCTTGAACCTTCGTAAGTTCATCTGATTTCAACTTCTCCATGTAAATCATTGCACTTTTTTTTTTTCTTACTTTTGTTTGCGCTGTATGAATTTCTTTAAAGCAATTGTTCTAAATGTTTGAGTAAGATTGACAGGAATATCTTGCGGGATGACTCTGGACATCTAAAAGTTGCAGATTTTGGAGTAAGCAAGCTTCTCAAAGTTGCCAATAGAGTTAAAGAAGAAAAACCTCTTACTTGTCATGATACATCTTGTGAGTTGCTGTTTTTATTTATATTTTTTACTTTTATTTTTTAAATTTTTAATTTTTTTGCTGTGTGTATGTGATTTTGACGGTGTATCTATCGTCTGTATATAATGTGCTTATGATAGGTCGTTATGTGGCTCCCGAAGTTTTCAGAAATGAAGAGTATGACACTAAAGTGGATGTATTCTCGTTCGCATTAATTTTGCAAGAGGTCTTGAATTAGATGGAAATTCTCATTTTTTTCGTATCAGTTTATTTGAAATGGATAATATTGCTACAAGTATATATATTTTCAGAGGTAATTTAATTTTTTTTAATATAATTTTTTTTCTCTCTTGTACTAAACTAGATGATTGAAGGATGCCCACCATTCTATTCAAAGCACGATCAAGATGTGCCCAAATTGTTTGCTGCAAACGAGCGTCCCCCTTTCAGGGCCTCCACGAAATTTTATGCACATGGTTTAAAACAGTAAGTTTCAATATTTTCATACATTTTTATCATTTGTAGTCTCGTTTATCTTTGTTCTTGCAGAGCATTTGACTAACCCGCATGAGTGTCTTTTCTTTTTTCTTTTTTCCTTACAGGTTGATTGAGGAGTGTTGGAGTGAGAACCCAGCCGACCGGCCCACATTTAAGAAAATTATTCCTCGTTTGAAGGCAATCTACAACAGATTTGGCCATAGAAGGCGCTGGAAGGTTCTTTTGTTGTTCGGTTAAATTATTGCCAAAAACCCGAGTCTTTATTTTAATATCTCGTATATCACTGCTTCCAGTTACTAAATACATCTTCAACTGGGGGTATTTTCTTTATTTTTGAATTTTTTTTTTTTTTTTTCT